ACATTCCAGAAGAGCAGAAATCAGAAAATTGAGTTGGAAACAACCTTCATGTCCTAAAGAACGAGAACCATTAAAAATAGAATACAAATGAAGTAGGAACTAAAACTAGATCAGGAATACCCCACGCACTCGAATTCTGTTCAAAACTGTAGGCAGACTTGTACAGTCCCAGAATCCTTGCAAAAAATCGCTGAGATCATTGGATGGCAATGAGATTTCCTCCGACGTGAGCTCGCTGATAGGTGACCAGGCCCAAAGTGACCATGAACTCGAATGAGCGAAGCTGTGAGGTTAAGTAGAAGCTATTCGTTAAGGCATCCTCAACAAGAGAGTCTTATTTGTGGTTTTTGTAAGGAGAAAATCACATGTAGCGGAATCGACATCACATAATATTTCTGGAAGTACTGGGAAAAGAGAGAGCGTTTTTAGGAAAAGGTTTTCTATAAAATTAAGAAAAGGGGCGATAGTTTGGGAAGTCCGCGATTTCCACCATCCAGCGATTTCAGGTACACCCTCAGCTCCGCTACGAGCCTTAGAAAGTGGAGGTGGGATCAACTATCGCATTTGTGCGCTTTCGAGACCAGCGTGACCGCCACTTGGAGGTTTCAGTCCTACTCTTTATCAGAGCCAACCGTCCGTTGGCACGAGGGGGGGGGAGGGGGTTGCTTTTGTAGATATTGGCGAGGGACCGCGCAGCGTTCCCCTAGAGATGGATTGCAAAATTTTTGAAAAAAAAGCGAACGTGACGGTTGACCCTGCTCATTATCCCCTCCCCCCTTTCATTCACTTTAAGAGTCGGCCTAGCAAGGCAAGAGAGTTATACGATCGCTGGAGTGAGAAAAGTGGCAAATTTTCTGAATTTCTTTGCTCTTAAAAACAGCATCTTTCCGCCGTCCGAAAAAAGTCATAAAACAACCCCTCATTTAGCTTGCTCCAACGGGCAGTTAGCCTCGTGAAGAAGTAGGTTGAAGATAGGAGTAGGACTAAAATAGAGAGGTAATAAAATAGAAATGCAGTGCGAATCCCGAAATTTGCCCTACGTAGTGGTTGAATTGGGGTAGATTCCTGGACCCCTTACTAATTCTACTATGCAAACCTAAATGATTGGCGTAAGTGGTACAGTGGCTAGTGGCTCTGCTTATGAGGCATACGATTCGAGGATCGAGTCCTCTATTGTGCGACAGCTAGGGCCACCAAGCCTTCCATCCCTCCGGGGTCGATTATTTGTTACCAGGCTTCTCTTGGCGCTCCGGGGTCGATTATTTGTTATCAGGCTTCTCTTGGAGCCAGTGACTGTACATTGGCTGGCTGTGCACTCCTTGTACAGGCCGAATCGCATTCAAAATCTCACCACGAATGCGAGAAGTAGTAGGATGCGTGGCGTACCCCAGAGAGAGAGAGGAGAAAGAGGAAGAGAGAGAACGATTAATCAGTGATGAATGCCTTAGCATTTGACATGAATCTAAAAAATTGCAAGGGATTATTGCAATTTTCGAAAATGTCCAGAAGATTAGAAGCCCATGGAAAGGCGAGAAACTCATGGAAGTCAAGCAGAACCACTTCCTAGGAGAACGAATAAATGACTACATTTG